AACATTATAAGTTTATTTATCAATAGTATTAAGTACAGTAAAGTTTAATCCTAACTACACTAAAGTAAAAAAAAAAAACGTACACAGGTTACAGTGTTAAATTATCTCTTTATCGAACTTAGGCCTAACATAAGTTAAAGTTTTATAAAGTACGTCCTATATACAAGTGGATTTACACATTTCGTTGTCTACGATTATAGTTCGTTTGTATTGTTCTAGAAATGTTATATTTAAAGAAGTACTGTTACGATAAAGATACTAATTTGGCCGGAAATGTTTTGCGGGTCTCTGCTAGTGTTTTATTAGTACGTTAAGTATATTGTTAAAGTTTAGATCACTTAATGAAGATATGACATTATAATACAGTTTACACTACGTATGCATGATTAATATGTGAAATATGTTGTTAAAATGTATATCAGTTGACGAAGACATTTCTTTCTTTTTTCTGGATCTTCCAGGCTGTAGCCATAGTATCCGTTTTCTTCATCTGCACATCAATACTATCCTTCTGTTTGAAGACTCATCCAACCATGAGGGTTCCAGTTCTTATTAATGAAACTGTGGTTGACAATAAGTCATGGACAGTAGAGAAAACGAGAACGGATGCTAACAATGGCTTTTTATATGTCGAAAATATCTGTAACTTTTGGTTTTGCTTAGAGATAATAATTAGATTTATCGTTTCTCCAAATAAGGTGGACTTTATACGAGAACCTATCAACGTTGTTGATTTTATTGCCACCATCTCTTTCTACTCTGATATGATGTTCCAGAAAATGACATCAGGGCTGGATATTTTGGACTTCTTGAGTATCATTCGTATATTTCGACTTTTTAAACTGACTAAACATTCTAAAGGACTTAAGATACTTGTTCATACTTTCAAGGCAAGTGCCAAAGAACTCTTCCTGTTGGTATTTTTCCTCATCCTAGGTATTGTCATCTTCGCTAGCTTTGTGTATTACACGGAACGACTACAAGTCAATGAAAGTAATAACTTTTCTAGCATTCCAAAGGGTCTTTGGTGGGCCATAGCAACCATGACAACAGTAGGATACGGTGATATGGTGCCTCGAACCTACTTAGGAATGTTAGTAGGTGCTTTCTGTGCTTTGGCTGGTGTATTATCTATCGCACTAACTGTTCCGGTTATAGTTTCAAATTTCACCATGTTTTATTCTCACACAAAAGCAAGAGAAAAGCTCCCAAAACAAAGAAGACGTATTTTGCCTGTAGAGCAACCACGGAAACGATTTGGTGCTGGAGTACAGAATAGAAGAATGAACGCCATCAAACACCACCATCCAGCAGCTCTAAAACATTATCCAAGTAAGTTCAATCAGACTAAAGAGAGCATTAGTTGTGGCTATTGAGCTGTAGTATAGCTTATGGTTTACGGAAAATTCATCGAAATAACAGTTAATCGAATGTCCAATTTTTAGATGGATTTTTAATTATGAATTATAAAAATAAAATTAAGAAAAAATATTAGAGAAAGGCATGAACTTTCGAAGCGAAATGGATCGATATTATTTAATACACATGGAAAAACACACATGTGTAAAAAAATGAGATATTTAATCAGAATGGAGAATAATACTATATCATGATATTACAGTAGGCAATTTTATCAGACCATTAAAATATTCAAAAACACCAATATTATTTATTTATTCTAACCAAGTAACAATTAATAATTTATGTTATGTACAACACCACGCAAGTAATCCTTCACATTATTTGTTGGTTGAAGCGCATTGACAAGCCTTTTTAACCTCTCTGCACTGTCACGATATCATTTCCGACCAATAGAAGGTTCCTGACCACTCAAAAGTTGTTCAAAACGTAGCTCGTTCAGACTTTGTTCTCTCTTTATCACAGAAATGAACTTCTATGCATTTGGATGAATTGTAGAAACTTGTTACAAAAAGCCACGATGCTATCCTTCTATAGAATTGTTAGTTTCTGGCAATTTCTACTGCACAGTTTCACATCTCAAGCTTAAATACAAGTGGATAGATGTCGTTGTCTTCGATCAGGACGTCCAATCCTATTATCCTCAAAATAATCAACCACAGGCTTAGCTTCAGGTAGAAAAATGTTTTCATCAATAAGAAAGTTGTACGTCTCTGCAACATGATCTGTAGGAATAACTGCTACTGCAGATATCATGCGAATCTTTAAATCTTTATCTGTGTTGTATCTTTTCTTGAGGCCATTTAAAGCAAGTACTAACTCCTTCATCTCTCTAAGAAGTATAATATATGTATGCTAATTTTTATTCGGCAACAATGCATAAATTAAAGGGGCGGCAATGCTTCCTTGCAGCCTGTGAATCGCATATAATTGCTAAAAATATTCGGAACAGTCTTAATTGTTCTATCAGCACACAGAGTCAAACATTAAAAATTGTTCTCCATTTCCAGTTTTAGTGTACTCTCCTGAAAAAAACAGTATCTCTTCGATAATTTGGAGTAACTAACCCTAGATTTTGTTTCCTACGTAAATTCCGAATAGTTCTTTTTATACTGTCTACCGATGGCAACTTAGCTGCCGCAGCTTGGCCGAGTCCAAACGATGCGTGTGAGACGGTATAATGTGGTGCATCACGTGTATTCGTTCGTATGATGTACATTACATTCTTAGCTTCAATACCGGCGGCATCGCCAGAATGGTTGTGCTCACGACACTCTCCATTAACGTTGTCGTCAATTGTTATCATACGACCTTTGTATGTTTATTTATTTATTTTTTTAATTGCTCACATTTCCAATAAACTTTTTTTCCTTCACTGGTTTGTTTTTAACAAATAAATATTCGTTCAACTCTAACTATGGTCTGCCTTTCTCCTCTCAAAAAAATGTAACATTTTGGAGGAACCAGTTTGCAATAAAAGTATAATACCTTTCTTGATATAGTACACACACAGTGCACTGTGTACAACCACTTCACAGGATTGTTCGTATACAGTGACTAATGGTCAATCGATGGCACTTTCAAACACACTTCTCTGATTACCCAACACTTCTCAGCAGAGAGACTAACACATCAAACAAACAAAACATTTGGCAGATATTTCGGTATGAAGTCTTTTGGGGTAACTTCGGAAGACTACCGGGAGCGCTCAAAAACATCAGATTCTGTTCTTCCCTCTCGTGATAGAGGTGAGGGGGTTATACTTTGAGGCTCGGGATTCGGCATTCCTGAAGTTTTTGGTGGTATCACTGCATCTCTTCTCAAATACCCAACGGTCATTATCGGACTTATGGGGTGGGGGATCTAAAAACTTAATGCCTAGACTTTGTTGTGGGGGAGGGGACGAAAGCACCCCGAGAAAACAATTTTCATTTCTATTTATAGCAAAACTGCCCCTTTGTCACGGATATAACATAGTGCATTTAAGCAGTGCTTCAAAGTATCACAAGTATCATACTATGACCGGTACATCAAAGTATCACAAGTGTTATACTATTACCGGTACATAAAAGTATCACAAGTGTTATACTATGACCGGTACATCAAAGTATCACAAGTGTTATACTATGACCGGTACATCAAAGTATCACAAGTGTTATACTATGACCATCAAAAAACACCTCCAACGGATCACTTCAACACTTGCTCAGTTCTCATGTGAGATCGAGGTCATTGACATTCCTGGCTGTTATCGCTTGACCTGTATTGTGACCCTAGTTCCAAGTTTCTGCTTTTATGGGAATTTAAATGAAACTAACATTATATAGCCAGTGTAGTGTGTGAAATTTGTAGTGTTAATTATGTAGTGAACACGTAATGCTTGTAGATATATGTTTCGAAAAATTTACCGCATACGGTTTCGAAGAATTTGCCGCATACGATAGCTTACACTTTAACATTGCTTTAGCATAGTTTACACTTTAACGCTAGTTAGCTGTAGCATAGTTTAAGTACCTATCATAGCAACAGATTTAATTCAAAGACCTCTAATAGAAATCTTATATAGATGTTAAGTAAGATGTAACAACATTACTCTCGTCTAGTAATATATCTTATAACTTGAAGAAATGTTTAGAATGCAGTCGGGGTAAAAGTCGGAAGCACTGACGCTTTTTAGGCCTAAGAAAAGTTTATAAAAATGAGGCATTTTATTTACATTTTTGATATATAATATACTCCCAAATTGAAAGCAAAAACCTGTCCTACACATTGTTAGATATATGTATAATTGTATTGTTGTTCTTCTCTTTACATGACTTCTAAAACTGTACATTTCCGTCAACAATGTTTAATGAGCTTAACCCTAGAGGAAGTTTAATTCATTCTTAGACAACGTTCACTGTTATAAAACTATTAGCTTTAGCTGAAACTTACTGACATAACTCTCCAATTAACCGTTAGACAAATATTATTAACTTCTGATCAAAGTAAGCTACATATATTGTTCCGAACTAAATATATTTTACTTTGTTTTGAGCTGCATTGCTAATTAAATACAATGTTCAAACTCTAATGCTTATAATAATTAGAATGTATTGTTCTTTCATTAGTTGGATACTGCCGCTTTTAACAGCATTTTCCGTCATAAACTCAATTATATGTTACAAAATTCAACCATCCTAGAAGGTTTAGGTTAGTCCTAAATCCAAATACTAAGCTAACGATGACGAATAATTATCATCAAACGATAATAAACATAAAATTAAAACATGTAAAATAATAAAATAAAATTAGATATATATCAAAAGTCCAAGTAAAATTTACCATCTTGTGAGCAAAATTAAAATTAGCTCGGCCAGCTTAGTAGATTTAAGTTAGTCCTAAATTCATAAAATAAGCTAAGAAAGTGAAATACAAAAATAATTACATTAAACTTATGACTATCTGGAAAAATACTCATGACTTATATAACACTATTAAAGCCATCTTTAGCCGAAACGTACTTATATAACGCTCTTCTGTTAACATCTGGATCAAGTTTATTTAGCTACTTTCATTAAAATTACATGATTTTTACTTTTATTATACTAGCCTTTAGATGGTATTTACATAGATAGCTTTAATATACTAACCTTTAGATTGGGTTTACTTACGTAGCTTTAATATACTAGCCTTTAGATTGGGTTTACTTACGTAGTTTTAATATACTAACCCTTAGAAGTTGTTTGATTATGTAGCTTTATCCAAATAGCCTTTAGATTGGGTTTAATTATGTAGCTTTATTCTACTAGCTTTAAAATTGTGTTTATATAAGTAGCTTTACTCTACTAGACTTAGATGGAGTTAACTTACGTAACGTTATTATACTAGCATTTAGATTGTGTTTACTTATGTAGTTTTATTCTACTCACGTTTAGATTGTGTTTATTAGCCTTTAGCTTGAGTTTATTTATGTAGCTCTATTCTACTAACCTTTAGAATTTGTTTGATTATGTAGCTTTATTATACTCACATTTAGATGGAGTTAGCTTATTTAGCTTTATAAACTAGAGTTTAGATTGTGTTTAGTTATGTAGTTTTATTCTACTCACGTTCAGATTGTGTTTATTTATGTAGCTTTATTATACTAGCCTTTAGATAGTGCTTACTTATGTAACTTTATTCTATTAGTCTTTAGATAGTGCTTACTTATGTAACTTTATTCTACTCGTTTTTAGATAGTGTTAACTTATACAGCTTTACTCCACTCATCTTTAGGCGCAGTATAGTTATGTTCATTTATGCCACTCACCTTTAGGTGGAGTTTACCTAATCAACGATGTAAAACGTGCCGAAAAATAATATACATAAATCTTGCCCCCCCACCCCCAGTGGCAAAGTTGTATGTGTACGGACTTATACTACTAGAACCCGGGTTTCGATGCCCGTGACAGACCTTGTTGTTTAATAACAAACAACCACATAAATCTTTTTTTTCGAGTTCATTGAGATGGCACTTAGCTTTACATATAATGTTTTATATTCTCTACTCCACTCTCTTGTTTAGTAAATAATATATACTTTACCGGTAATGACCTTCATGTTATTCATTCTAAAATTTCTAAAAACCAGTCACTACTTTTATAGTAAGCCATGTTTTGTTTTTCAGAAATAATGAATAGATTTTCAATGAATCAAACAGGTTTCTTCAGATTTGGAAATCGCCCAAATATTTTGAGATATCAATAATTTATAACATGTTAATTATATATCTTCAATGCAAATGTGTAATATAGGTAAAGTATCAATTACAAAAATGCTACATTTTTTTTTCAGGTAGAGTGGAGGGGTAGATGTCAGCGTTTCATTTTCTGGCATCAAGATTTTCAATATCTTCTAATCCAACATTTAATTGAACATTTCCTGGTCTTTATTCCTAAAGCTTTCACCGAACACAGACGTAATTGTTTTCAAAACA